GTAATAAATAAATCTCATTTTAAATTTGCTTTGCATTCATTTTTAGTGTTCCCCTAATCAAATTTCAAAAAGGAGGCTTTTAAGGTAATGTAGGCGGTACAACTTTGAGGAATCCTATTTTGATTGGTTTTCTCACAAGCTCTTTGATAGTGGAAAAGATTCATTATTTTTTAAACTGATTTTGACGCTCTTAATTCAAAAGTAGCCGACCAACGACCTACAATGCTTGTATATTTGCTGTTTTTGTATTCATAGTATTTTGAAGCATAGTATATTTTTCACAATATTTTCGGACTGAATAGGATATTTATAATCCAGTAAGTAATTCCAGCAATGTTATTTTGAGTACACAGTTTTTCGATTTTTACACATTTGACCTCAAAAATATTCCAAGAAATCTTTTTTTTTCTTTTTTTTTTAAATAGTCATTGCTATTTCCCTGTCCCTCTTCTTTTGCATAGGAGAGGAAAATTTTTGGATTAGAAAACAATCTTTTGCTGCTTTTTATGATCATTTCACAAAGTCATTATATTGAAAATGTTGTATTAAGTGAATTATAGTAAACGCATTTCTTATACATGCTTTTTTATTATTTTTTTAAAGTGTACAGTAAGGTGTTGCATACCAGTAGTTTGCATTTGATTTGACATTCCAGTAGATCTTTGAAATTCATGATTTTGTTCTGGTCTTGACTTCAATATATCATCTCTCATATATTTTCCACTTTTAGTTGTTTTAAGAAGGTGTATCTCTATGAAAATTAAGTCTTATTTATGCATCACAGATAACAATGGGACTTGATACAAAGATTGCTTTGGTTTTCATGAAATTTATTGAAAGTCATGTGGTCAAATTCAAAATGCTACTTCAGCAAAAATTTCGCGGTAAAATTCGGTTCATAGTATGCATGGATTTACAGGTTAATTTTTTATTGGGAAGTGTTTCCGAACCATAACAATCTCGTTTAGATTTAACATTTCGCAAATTCTATGGTCGATACAATGATCTTGTTGGCAAATAAATCATTATGTCAAATGCTGACTGGCGTTTTTCATAAATTTGTTGTGGGGCATTATTTACACATCAAATTGTCTACGAATTTTCCCTTTCCCCAATCATGACAAACAGCCTACGGTAGGTATGATCGGTCGGCAGGGAATGCTTACATGTTATCCTCTATGATCCCACCTCTGTTTTCAGAGGTGTGTGTTGGCTCTGCTAATGATCTGTACATAATTAGCCTATTAAAGTTACATGAAATATTCACATCATTAATTCAAAGAATGAAATTCTGTGCGAAAGTGATTCAAAGTAAAAAGATTTACTTTTGTAAATCAAAGTACTTACATGTACTAAGAAAGTCAAAGTTCCTTAGTATTGACTGTAGTAAATCAGCTTGTGATGTCTTGAATTGAATTATATACATGTGTGAGTAGTTAGGACTTCCAGATCACTTCGACATATCCATGGTGCTCGAGATACATTGTATCGGTGTTCGAGATGCTGAAGTTCAACTGTAATTTACGCTACCTAACCATTGTAAATGAAACTATTTGTCAAAAATAAGTTAAAGTATTAAGTGTTGACTTTATGAAATCAAAGTTCCGTAGCAATCTCTATGGTAAATCAAAGTTTTTACTTTTGTAAATTTCAATATTATAGCTTTTACTGTAGTTATGTATAAACGCTTTTATTAAATCAAAGTTTCAGAATATCCGCTATAGAGAATCAAAGATTCCTCACTGATGCTAATGTAAGCCATAATTTATTATGTTTTATATTATAATTTAGCATAGGTTTAGGGTTACCACATATGTACTTATGTTTATGCAAGTGTAAATAATTAAACTGTAAACAACTATTTAACGTGACATTTTATTCACGATTCGCCAGTAAAAATTTGGTCGTCGACGATTCATAATCCGTGACTGGGCTTTCTATTTTATATACCTCAGAAGGCCTTTTATATATTTCAATAAATTATAATCTTGCTTAACGGAGTAACAAATAAAGCGGCAACCTATGGCCAATGGAGCGTCAAAGTGTGAACTCTTAATTTCCCTGTTTCCTCATAAAAGAATTTATTTCCCCATGATATACATTTATTGACTGGGTTCGAGAACAGCATGTCGGACCCAAGAAGCAAACTGTTTGCCTAGGGCCATTGTGCAGAAGGCAAACCGTTTGGTTCGAGGGGTACACAAAACGCATTTTGCCCTAGAACACAGTCAATAAACGTTTTGTTATTATCGGCCGCAGCAGCGGCCGATCTATTTGTGGTTGTGTTAGAATGTGCACATGGGGAAATGAGACGTTATTTTTATTGCTTTGTTGAAATAATTCCTTATTGACAGCAAACATAAAAGTTGAGAATAAAATTCTTTATTATTGCTTAAAACTAAGTCAAAATATTTTGTTATTATGTTTTTATTTTTTTTTTTTCATTTTTTGTCCAATATTTATTAATTTAATGATTTTACAAAAAGTAAAAAAAAATATTAATAAACTGCTCCCTAACATGGGCGTGCATAAGATTTAAAAAAACGTATTGAGTTTCCAGACATGAATTACAGAATCTAAAACTCTTCTGCACTTCACATACATATCTATCACAAAACTGATCGGCATTATAAAGTAACAAAAATTAGGAGTATCAGCACGTGAAACGTGTGTCCTTTTTGTCAGCTTTCAGGCATTCATAATCAATTATTTTAGATATTTGTTGCATTTGTCCTTGAATCAAATAATTTGATGATAATACACTTCTATCCTTTATTGCAGTCCGATTTTCATTTTAATGAATTTATTTTTATTTGAATAAAATATTTAACAATTGATCACTGAAAAAAATGCATAGGAAAGTAAAGCAAGTGTAAAAATGTATCATATACTTTTTCTATTAATTCGGATTTTTTCTTTGGATTCTTTCTTGTGGAAATTCTTCAAAATGAAATATACTTTTGCGGCCGATTTAATGCTTTGCATCAATTTACCTTGTATCTTTTATTTATTTGACATACATGTATCTTGTGCTGGCATCCATGAAGTAAGTTTCCTTTTCACTGCGGTAAAACCCGGTTGATTCTGTCACTGTCGAACACCAACGAATGCAAATAGTATTTAGCTGATCTTAAATAACTGACCATCCTTATATTTATTTTAATCTTTAATGATGCTATTATGCAGGCCTTAGAACACTGTAGTTTATAATTAAAACCATGTAGGTCATTTTAAAAGTTTATGAAATAAAACATTTAAGGATTATTTATACCAACAACGAGACAAGTAGTCATACGTTCTATAGAGTTATCAGGGTCATTTTAATAGTATAGTGAGAACTAGTACAATGTCACCTCAATATATCGCCAGCTCTTTTTGTCTAATCCATTTTTGGTATTATAACAAAGTTGATATTTTAGAGTTTGATCTATCTCAATTAAAATAATGATAAAATTTACCAGGTAATTGCGTCCTGTTATATAATAGTTCCTGATAAACGCATTTACAATGCATACACTCATTTGATTTGAACATAACATTGAATTGAAAAATAGTATTGTAGAGATATTTATTTCGGCATGTTTAGAAATATCAATTTTTGTAGAAAAAAAACACATCAATCGTAGTTCAAATTTTTATAATAATATAGGTAGCTTTTTTCACCCATCAGTGATTAAATGATAATCCATACCCGTGCTCACTCAGGAAATAACATGAAATTCAATGTCTAGATTTTAAACAAACTAACCACCCACTTATAGTTATCAATCAATCAATCAATCAATTTATTCACTCAAACCATACAACATGGTACATGAGGGACATAAAGTATATATCATATCTATTAAATCGTCAGAGGTACATACAACATATATATACATGAATAAATATTTCACAACTGCATGTAAAAGAATAGACATACGTATAGTATTAACAGTAAACTATATATGTATTTCAATGCAAAGAAAGAAAAACACCAGGAGGACAATTAAGGGGAACAGACAGTCTCAAAGATTTTTGAAATAAAAGTACAAAGTTTTCTTAAAGATTTTACATTTGAATTTGCCATGAGTTCATAGAACTTTACAATATTTGGTCTACTGCAGTAACTACTATGTAAAAATTCTTTCCTAGTTTCTGAAAAAGCTGAACGTTCTAAAATGTAGTGGTATTCATCACCTATTTTTCCATTGTTACATAGTAAACATATTCTTTCATTTTTCAGTTATCGCACAGTATATACGCGGGATCGAGTACAAGTACTTGCCCAATTATGGCGTTTTGGCTTCGGTATCCAGGATAAAAGTATAAATATAATTTGACCTAGCGTACTTTAAAACGGGTGTCGGAAGGCAGTAGTAGTCTTTAGTGTGTATTGAAATCCTTTTTCTGCGAATTTTAGTGGAGGTATGTAGGGGTGATTGGATTGGCTGTATGTTATTTCTCGGTGAGAATTTTTCACTCATATAAAAACATCACCACATGGCGGTTAAATGTTTTAAATTTAGACCTCTCTTAGCACTCAGGTCCATTGAGAAGTAAGGTATCTTTATCATGCCAACGCCTGTCGTGACACGGGACCTCAAGTCTGTATTGCAGTTAAATCCGAGATATAATTTCTATGTACAGATAGTGAATAGTTACTTCCTGTAATTATTTTCAAGAACTTAATTTTCTGCTAAAGTGTCGTAAACTTTTCTTTCTTTTCAGGTCTAAATATCTAGCTCGGCATGAAAGCATTTTTTCCGGTGAATTCTACAAGAAGTAGGTGAATTCATCTCTTCATTTCTATAGACCTGATTAATAATTTAGAATATACTGTTACAGTAATACATATTTCCACTTTCAAAAATTGGAAGGTTATTTGGAAAAGTTATGAACTTATCGATAAAAAATATCAAAAGTCATCAAAGAAGCAGATTATTTTTTTCACAAATTGTGATTTTACATTATTTTTTTTAGATAAATCCTCTGTTGTTGCAACGTTAACACTATTTGCAACAATACTGTATCTCAACCTGTTTATCTCAGTGTCTCAGAGAGAGGAATTATTCAATTATTTTCCATCATTCCGTATGAAGTTTTCCATTACCCATACTGCAACTGAGGTGTTTTCAGATGCCTCCAAAAGGTTTAATGCAGATATTGCTACTAAGTTACCAGACAGGTCCACATCTCTCTTGCCTGAAACATCCACAACAAATTCATTGTCTGAGACTTATGTGTGTCCTACATTTGAAGGAAGACTAGGAAATAATTTATTCCAGTTTGCGTCAGGGTTTGGAATCGCTGTCTCCAAGGGTTTGAAGCTTGTGATTGGAGAAAAGGACCGTCTTTTACAAATTTTTCAAATGAAAAATAGTAAACACCTTCTGATCAGTAAAGACAAAAGAGAATGTATCAAAGCAACACTTCGAAAAGAGCGCCATTTGTGCACATACGATGACCATTTGGTAAACTTTACACCAAATGGAACATTCAGCGTGGGAAATTATCTACAGTCATGGAAGTATTTTCATAATGCCTCCCAGGAATTACGAGAACAGTATAAATTCAGGGCTCATATTCAGAATAAAGTGGATCATATTATAAAACAGATATTGGAGAAATTCAACACAACCCGAAAGGATGCGACTTTAATTGCCATCCATATTAGACGTGGTGACTTCGTACGCCTAAAATCATCCGGTTATGCCGTAGCAACTAAGGAATACTTTGAGAAAGCCATGGCACTTTTTAGTAATTATTCCAGTCCTCTTTACATTGTTTGCTCCAATAATCTTGAGTGGTCTAGAGCTAATATTCCTAAGAAGTACAAGGTAGAGTTTACATCTGGGAATTTACCGGAAGTTGATTTGGCTTTAATGGCTTCATGTGATCACATGATATCGTCGGTTGGTACCTACAGCTGGTGGGCAGCTTGGCTTAATAATGGGAAAGTGACTTACTACAAATGGCCTGCTGCGGAAGGTTCTCCTATCCGTTCTCATTTCAGCTCAGACTATATGGATTTTTTTTACCCACATTGGATAGGGTTATAATTAATGACATGTATTAATGATGTAGAATCATCGTTCATTATACAGCCATGTATACATTAAACTGACTTAATGTGCAATGCTTTTTCCAATATTTTCACTTGGATTCACCAGGCTGTGCATTTATTTATATTTATTTTAGGTGCTTCTTTGTAACTTATTGAAAAATGCACGCGAGACAGTGCACATGTGTCAATGTGTCCTGTTTTATTTTTCTGAATGCAAATGTTGCAGACATTAATCAATTCATTGATGTCTTGATTTTGCTTAAGAATCAACCTATAAGTTTTATGTATTTTGAAAGAATGCAGAGGTAAATAAAGTACTTTTTATGATTTTAATTGTGTTTAAGAGAATAAACAAAAGACATTAGAACAAGTTTAAATTACGAAAATTTAAGATCTTTCTCAAAGTTGAATTATTTTGATGTCTTTTATAGCAGTTGCATGTATTTTCAGAAAGCATTTGGTATTGTGCGGTATGTATCGAAAATGTTTACAATTCAAATAAAATACAATCTATCATTAAAGTTTAGGTTTAGTGGCGTTTTCATACTAATTATTAGGCTATTATTAAAACACTGATTTGTCTACGGATTTTCCCGTTTTCCCGATCATGACAATGAGCACACTGAGGGTGTAACCGGTCGACAGGGGATGCTTACTCCTTCAAATTATGAGAGGGCATCGTATAATTTTGCTCTTATTGAAAAAACTAAAATATATCTTTGTGTATCGATCTGAAAACAAGTGGAAACTTCAGCATTTAATTGACAAAATATTTTGCTCGATAAGTACATCAATATTGCTCATGTCTGATTGTGGCCTACATACTCATCTGACTGAAACCCTAACTAGTGCTAATTGTAACGGGAACCGTTACAGATGTTCCCCAAACGGCTCCCCAATCCCTTATGATGCCCCATTCCCTACAAACTTCAATAAATTAGACAATACATTTGTAACATAGATGGACACTTTAATTTTAAGGGTATTTCATTGGAGAACTACTCCGATATAGCCATATGGGTATTAGCCAATCAAATTTCAGCGCATGTGCTTGCACATGTTTGCTACATTTTTCACATTAGTTTTCTTATAGTGTCTCACAATACATACATTTGTGTTAAATATTAAAGAATTTCATTGAAAAATAAGAGAGATGTAACCCTTTAAGTATTAGCCAATCAGAATTCAGCATACGCGCATGCATGGCCTTGCATTCAATTTTGATAGTATCATAATGTAGGAGCTCTATGTGCCCATCCATGTCGTAAATTTCATCTGTTTTCTTGAAAACCAAGGGAGTTGTAGACATTTAAAGTTTCAACCAATCAGATTGCAGCAAACCTGCATGCGCGTGTTTTCAAGAAATTTCCTATAAAACATGTTGTAGCACCTTATAATATATACTTATATTCTAAATTTCAAAGTATTTTGTCAAAAAACAAGGAAATTATTGAGATTTTTGTATCAGCCAATCAGAGAAGAGCGCACGTGCATGCGCGTGAGTTCACGCTAATTTGACCATGTTATCTTGTCTAGACTACCAATGTATCTTTATATTTTGAGTTTCAAAGCAAATTATCAAGAAATATAAAATTTACGGCTTCATCATGTATTTCAGTCATTTCACTCATTGCACGCGCGCGCACGTGAATGCATGTGCGCGCAAAATGACCTTCGTTCCGAACACCTACACAACATACCTATTAACCCTTAAAAGGTTTCATGTCAATCGGATGAGTGGTTCTATGAGAACACTCCCGGACAAAAAAGTACCGAAGAAAGTAGAAAAAAAAAAAATAACTAGATGAGATCTCGTTGCGAGCAACGAGTAGGTCTTCCGTTAGATTTATGACAAAATCTTGATTGGGAAATTTTGATTGATAAAAGAAAGTAAAACATCTTTAAATGTAAAAAATATTCATATCTATTCTTCAGAATTGTTTAGCAACTCATAAAAGAGTGAAATCTATCAATTTCAAACAACTTCCGGTCTTTTTTATTCACTTTCGGTATGATCGGAAGTAGTCAAAATGACTTTTAACTATTCACTGAATGTGGAGGAATCATCCTTCAAAGTTTCGAGGAAAAATGAGCATTTTTCGACTACTTCCGGTTCGGAAGAAATAACTTCCGGTGGAAATAATATGACTCGAAACAGTCTATTTGCCTCTATTAAAAACATTTCAATAAGAAAAAAAATAAAAATTTGCATATTTTCAAACTACTTCCGGTGGACAACGGGCGTCACGGCAACAAAACCTATACAGGTTTCTCAAATCTACGAGTCACAATCTATCATCCCTGAAAGTTTCAAGACTCAATCTTTAACCGTTTTTGAGAACACTCGCGGACAAAATGCCATTTTAAAAATGGAAAATTGGCCATATCTCGCGACCGGAAGTGATGACGACAAAACAAAACAAAAAAAAAACGCATAAAGTTCGAATAATTTGCCATCATTGCTGAAAGTTTCGTGAAAATCTATCGAGGCGTTCTCGAGAAATCGTCTGCACAAAATTGGTAAGAAAAAAAATAATAACTAGATGCATTTCTTGTTGCTAGGGCAACAAGTGGTCTTCCGACCGAACTTTTCTCCAGATCGCTATGCTACATCACTTCATTTAATACTTTATTGACGGTATTTTTTGTTTGCGTTTATGTGACACAGTCTTTCAACACAGATCATGATTATTAAAGGATTTCTATAGAATCTCTGTTAAAAATCTTTAAAAAATAAGCAAAAACTATCATACATGTCTTCACAGAGAAAAATATAATTTACAACTGAAAAAAGAGAGAAACAATCTCCCGCCCCAGCAGGATTCGAACCCACAACATTACGAGAAAGTTTGGATCGGTCATATCTTTGCAATAAATGCATCAATCAAAATGATGAAAACATACTTAGAACTCTTAGAAGACTCTCTATTAACCCTGTAAATCCCAGAGAAAAATATTGAAAAACAAAAAAGTCACAAATTAAACATTTTTGAATTCACTTCCGTTTGCGACCAGAAGTACGAACGACAAAAATAATGGTCGATCAACATATCTACATTTGATGCTCTATCACCTCAGCAAGTTTCATATTCATATCTTATCACATATATCGGAAGACCTTAATAATAACTAGTAAATTAGAGGCCTTTCCACCTTTTAAAGTGTTTTCGTGTCATTTGGGCTGAAAAAAAGAGAAATATAAAAAAAAAAAAAAAAAAAAAAATGCCAAAAAAAAAAAAAAAAAAGTCTCCTCCAGCTGGGATCGAACTCAAAACCCTTGGTTTGAAAGGCAGGTGCGCTAACCACTGCGCTACACATTCTGATAAAATTGGGTAAGTTAATTGTTTAAGACTATATAATAAATACAAGCGTATTTTTAGAATCGGTAGGGGAAGAAAGAAGTTCCGTAAAAGGAAATAGTTCCTGAACTTGCAAGCAGTATATAAAATAACAAGGGACGTGCTGCGTGAGAAAACGTTAACACTGTTCCCTAATGAAAATGTATTAATGGACTGTAGCCCGATTCATCGATATTGTGAGCATGCTGATTTTTTTGAAAATAGCTTTGTTGTAAGCATAAACGATCGGGTTCGGATTTTAACATTTCTGACTGAATATCCTGAAATAAATATGAAACATTTAAATAAGCATTCGTTTGGGTTAAATTCAATATGTGTAGCACAAATTAAACTCCGAACATGCATTTTTAGAAGAGAAACACGACAATGAAAGCGAGAATTGTTTTTAATATACCGAAAATCGCTATTCTGGAAACTGATTAATTCTAAATAAAAAACAAATAAATTCCAAATGTAAAAGAAAGAGAGAATGCTTGGTATTAAAAAGTCGTATCATATCAGGAAATTCGAATGCTACTAGCGACATCTGAAGAAATAGGCGATAAAAGGTTTAGATCATTTCTTCGTCCACCTGCACTTTAATTTCAAACACAACAGAACTTGTAGTTTTTGCCGTGAAACTTCATGACTTCTATAAACTTATAAGACTCACCGTAAAACTCTCAAGAAAGTTTCTCTGAGGTCTATACTACATTTGTACCAAATATGGTGTCGATCCGAGGTCTGGTTTGAATTTTACAGAAATATTCTACGTTGTTGTTGATGTGATTATTTTTAAGAACGGGTGGGGGGATGAATTATTTCTTATGTTTTTAAATGACTTTGACCTTGACCTATATTTCAAGGTCAAAGTTAAATATGCCGATGCAGTTGATCCCATGTCTCTAGGATACACCGTTTGAAAAAAAAGTTCATTAAATACTTTCAGGGGCAGTAACTTATACAAGGGACAAAAGAATGCTTTTGCAATGATAGAATGAAGAGAGTACTAAATGAGTCGAAGATGATGAAGGCTTGGAATCTCTACGGTTTACGGTTTCGGAGGAGTAGCGATAACAAGGTTTTATTGCAAAAGGGGTGACAACTTTTGAATGGGTCAAGCTTTGGTGACAAGAATTAAATCCTTAAAATAGTTTTAGAAGGACGTATTATAGATGCAAAGATATTCAGTATATGTCGAAAGGTTTTCTACAGAATCTCTGACAAAAAAGCTTTTAAAAATCAGCAAAAACTACCATACATGTTTTCAAAGAGAGAAGAGTCATTAGCAACTGAAAAAAGAGAAAAACAAAGAAAAAAAAATAACTGCCTCCACCACGATTCGAACCCCAGACAGTGGGACAAAGTTTGGATCGGTCATATCTTTGCAATAAATGCACGCATCAAAATATTGACTACATATTTAGAATTCTTATAAGACACTCTATAAACCCTGTAAATCCTAAAGAAAAATATTGAAAAACAAAAAAGTTGAAAAATTAGACTTTTTGAATTCACTTCCGTTTGCAACCGGAAGTGCCGACGACGAAAAATAAAGGTCGTTCTTCATATTAAAATTTGATGTTCTATCTTTTCATTGAGTTTCAATTTCATATCTTTAGCCGTTCTCGAGAAAAATTCTGGACAAAATGCCATTTAAAAAATACAAATTTCCCCAAAAATCGCGAACG